GACGACATGTGCCGGCTCTTGGCGTTTGACAATGAGTGCTTGAGGTGGTGGCAGCAACACATTTGCAACAGTAAATTCAGACGTCGTGTCTTAGGGAGTGTGAGTATCCCCTTCAGCAAGCCGGTTTTGCTGCGCCAGTTAATATAGCTCGGCCACATCCTGCGTATTTCCGCTGAGCGCTTGCCCGATGGCGCCTTTTTCGCCCGTGCAAGGCTTGGCTGGAATTGAGACCAAGTGACGGTCAGCTAACCATTTGATAACAGCATATGAATTCGTTGACTTTAAGTCTTTATGCGGTTGGATCCATATGTCTGCCTGATTGGAGATTTCAGAACAAGAGTCAGCGAACAAGCTCGTTTTCGGTGGATCTCGTCAGGCTGGTACACCACAACTAATATGAATAAAATGAGTTAAAGCATCAGACGGGAGTAAAGTTCAAAGGGTAAAATTAAAAGGTCTAGTTCATCTAAATGACAAAGTCAAGTGCTTGGTTCACAAACGGTCAATGACATGTCAGTTGCATGCTTCTCAGCAGAGGTTACTGTAATAAGTGGCCAGGGAAGAGAGAGAAACTGAACGAATTGTTTTTGTGCACAATGGTCCTGTGTGCTATGATTTACGATTGAATTAGAAGAGGATGTACTGGTCACTAGGAATACCGACGGCTCTCTGTAATCGAGCGTACATCGGAAGAAAACACATACAGACCAGATATTAAACTACCACAGCAACCATCCGATGAATCACAAGAAGAGCTGCATTCAAACCCTGTTCAAAAAGCGGAAACGCACTGCAGCACAGCCGAATCGCGGAAACAGGAAGAAACGCACCTATATCGAATGTTTAGAAACAACGGTTATCCGAGAAATTTCATCAGAAGCTTAAAGAAATGAACGTCTCAGCAACAGCAGCAGTCACCTGAGCAAGCAAACAAACGGATAGTGCTCCCCTACATCAAGAACGTCTCCGAACTCACAGGAAGACTGCTGCAGTCACATGGCATCACTGTGGCCCACAAACCAAGTGCCACCCTAAGGAAATTGATCTCAAGGCCCAAAGAAAAAGTCAATCAAGCCGACCAATGCAATGTCATCTACCAGATAAAATGCAGCGACTGCGATAAAAACTACGTCGGACAAACTGGAAGAAAGCTTTGTACACGAATTACCGAACACAAGGCGGCCGTCAGAAGACATGACCCGCACTCGTTGGTTTCTGCGCATGAAGATCAAGAAAGCCAACATTTCGATCTGGAGAATGTAAAGATTCTAGCACATGGAAGTACAAAACATGTCAGGGAGTTTTTGGAAGCCTGGCACTACAACGAATTCAATCAATCGACACATCGAACTAGACGCAGTATACGCAACCCTACTGGCGAACGACCGACAACTCGATCGATTGCATCCGATGGAACGCGTGACTATACAACCAGCACTGACGACAGACTCGCTCACAAGAGCAAGCAGACAAAGGCTACGAAACACAAGAGGTTAAGGTCAACCGTCATCTGCCCATCAACCCAGCTGAACGCGGATCGAAGTCCTAGCCAATAGGATTGCTCGTCTCCACGGACAACCACGGGGATATAAAAACGCACGCACACCATGCTCAGCGCACTCTCACCGAGGCTCCGCTACGCTACTCTTCGCTATTGCATGCCACTCAACTACGCACTGATGATGTCACCTCGATTGGTGACGAAACGTTTGCAACCAAATTGCCAAGCTCAGCGAACAGTTCAACCGCCATCTGAACAACCTGAGCTACCCGTCTTCAATGCTATAGTCTATGATTGTTGTATTAAGAACGTAAGCCCACCTTGGGGGTTTAAACCATGACGGAACAGCTCCAGCTGGTTGGAATAGCTTTCTCATAACCACAAATAGAAATCGTGTATCCTATCCGCAATGTAAGTCCGCCGAGGTTGCACAGGCTGGAGGGAGTGTACCTGGTCCCTAGGCTTTATAAAATTTCAGTAGCCTGAGCTTACATTCCAATTCTGCGAAAGGCGAGGTCCAAAAGGGACGGTCCAAGGAACAAGGCGACTACTGGCTGGCGATACAGCTGATAACTCTGGTAAGCTACATTGTTTTCAGTGTTCAGACTAACGCTCCAAGCATTCGTCGCATAAAGTCCCACTAACGCTGGGTCCCTTGCTGTCTGTCTCCCCCGTCAGACGGGATAGCCTCTGAAGGTTACCAAGAACGATGGCTATTTCCACTAGTAACGCATGATGGAACTACCAGTTTTACAGGTTTTTCTTCATGCTAGTACGCAGTTTTGCCCTGAGGTTACTGCGAGTCCCGTTGTATTCCTGTCCAGAAGGAATGTATCTGAGATCGTATAGAAAATCTGGAGGCTGCGTAGAAACCCACTGTTTGGTTTGGTAGTTGAATTTGCCACATAATGCTAGTAACGTATGGTGAAGATGAGACTAGTGACCTTCCACTGTGTTCAGCGAGCGCTTACTAAATTCTGATGCCAGCGTACTTTAGCATGCAACCAAAACACTTGGCTTTTCCAGTTGGCAAATGCATATACGCTCAGTGTCGTCGCAGGCGTCCACCGAAACGCACCAGCGGATTAGCAAATATAAACGCATAGTTGGAGTGTAGGCTACTGTTCCAAGTCGAGTGACGGTTTCGGTAACCGATCGCAATGTGGTCCGTTGCTGGTGGGCGCCATGCCAACTTTCCATTGGTACTGTGTCGGAAGTTAGTGCTCAAGATGAGGAGACGAGCATCTTCAAATAAGTATAGCAAGCGCTCACAGCAGCCTGCACGGTGTTGGCCGCCCAAATGAAACTAGCCACGGGACAACTTTCCAACTGGAGGATCCATATGATCAGTCAGTACTTTGTTTGTGACAAAGGAGCATGCTCAGTTGGAGATAGAAATTATACCACACCGAGGCACTGCGACAGTTTGTGCGAGGTGAGCAACAATAACCAACAGACACCTATTGCCCCCGAGCGACTACCAGACCTTGACCGAGCCAGCCAATCTGACAGCGCACATCCGGCTACTGAATGGGATTCAGTCGACCAGAACAGCTTAAGCCAGGTAGCTCAGAGCAATACCCACACCGACTTGACTAGTACTTGAAGTATGGAGAAAGTGCCACCAGTATCACTTAAAGAAGGCCGAGGAGTGAACACAGAACTTAAGGCATGGAGACGGGCTTCCGATAAGCAGCAGATATCGACCCACAGGGCCTCTACTGTGCGAAGAAGTGCCTTCTGCAGGCCAATATGCAACAAAGAGCGCACGTTGAAACATGCCAAGCTTAGTTAGGACGGATGGTTCCAAATAAAAAGATGAATGAACTGAGATTGTCCGCTCAGTTTGAAGTAGGCCCGTAGACTAGACCGGAGCGATGCCCTGCGATTGCGTGTGAGTCGAAACAAAAGACAAGCGGCTATCAAAGTAGAATAGGTGAGGGCCAAGAACTGTGAAGTTGAAAACAGGGGGATAAAAGTGATGCTAGAGTGAGACAATAAGGATGGAAATGGAGAGGGGAGTAATAAGACGGTAAGACCTAAGCAGTAGCATTCTGACCGACGCACTGGTGTTTAGCTTTGCAATAGTCAGAGCATTGAGAAAGTGTTTAAGGGTTCGTTGCATTTTGTGGGCGGGACACTGTCAGGCTGTTCAGGTATGGACAAGAGAACGATTAGCGTTCACAACCAATGGCTTTGGCTCAGAAACCGGACCGCAAGGTAGCGAGTTTGGCGGTGTGCTACAGGAAGTCTGTTTTAAGGAACAAGGAGCCATTTGCACTCTGACCTCAAATTTGTAGGATTAAGAAATCGTTTTTTTTAGCCTCCAACCATTGACCAATATACTAAGAGTTACTCTGAAGGTGCAAGATTTTCCACCTAACACAGCTCAAGGGATCGTTGAGGCACGCAGACGATCACATCACTCTAAGATAAACCCTCAATAAAACGGTTGAATCAATGAGTCGATTCTTCATAACAATGTCTGATAACCCAAAAGCGTTGCACAAATTCATAGCAGTAGACTGGTGGTTTTCGGTAGCCATACACATGTACCATCAAAAAACAAGGCCAAATAAGCATAGACATCCCAGGAGTTGAAGACTCCTCGAGTCCCGAGACAGAGTGAGACAGGCTTCGCAAACGAAATGAAGGGCGGCCATCAGCACCACGTTAAGGAGGATTTTTCTATGGTAGTGAGGATTTAGAAAAATCATAGAAGCCACTGAAACGCTACTACCAGCAATTGCATGCGAACTGAGACACTGCCAGGTGACACGTGCCTACGCCGGTGGCCGATAGGATGAGGCGTCTGCCTTGTAATCCGGAGTTCAACGATTTGTATGTGCGTAGATGCGCGCGGCTCCGCGGTCCGCGTGCGACTGCTGGTGATTTGGTGGCAGCGTAGCGCCGATGCAATGTGTGGGCGTGTCGCTTATGTCTTGTCTACGTTGGTTCGAAAACGTGACGGATGAAGTACAAGGTAGACGCAAGAACTGCTCTGGCACCGGTCGACTGAGGGCTGATGGTACAGCTGTGGTAGCTTACATGACGCTCGCAAGTTCTATGGCGTTAATGCTTTTCATTAATTCATTATACACGTAAGCTAGATGAAGGAAACCCCTCAGCTATCGTTCCGCAATACATGAGAAAGGAACAAAAAGACGCAGCATAGGCATGCCAGCTGAGTCACCAGTAACGAATAGACATGCTTCCGGAGAGCTAGTAGCCGGCTATTGTGTTGCAAAGTCATATTGTGTCCGAAAGGAGATAGTGGTTGAAGGAGGATGGACAAAAACTAGAAACACAACAAAGAGTTTAGGAGTGAGTGTAAATTTACGGTAGGGCTAAGCAAAAGTGATTGTTAAGGATAAAAAAGTAATACCTATAATACACACGAATGAACCGGAACTTTAGGCACTGTTGGGTTGGCTGAACAGCAGAAAAATCGAAGTGAACGCAATGGAAACCGAGCACATAAAAATGTATGTTAACATACTTGAGATGAAGAATAGGATTCGGTCAGATATGGAATGATGACCTGAACATGAGCCCTGGTGCCAAGGGTACCGGATTCTAACAAAGGTTTTCTGTAATAGACACAGCGGCGGTCCATATAGGTACGGGCCTCGACGTTATCCAGAGCGTTTGCGACGCCATCAAGACCCTCGAAGAATTCGTCGTTGTAAATATTTTCGGTTTCGGGACCAACGCGGTTCTCGTGTGCGTCGATGTGCATCTGGACAGAGACAATAACAATAAAACGTGAGGGTCGTTCAAGCGGTAAACATGAGGAGAAATAAAGTGAAGTCAGTAAGGGTCACAGAACGTAGATGTTAAGGATGATTGGATTATAGAAAGCAGAAGAAAAGCCCTGGGTCTACTCCACCGTTTCCCGTTAACTGGCGGGCACGTTCCACTGATAAATGGTGCACCATAGGAGGTCGTCAGTTACATTAAAAAACAGGGTCCATGCTTACTCACTATGTATGTGTCCAACATCTGTCTGAACACTGGACTCTGTATTTAATGGGAATAAAAACTGGAGCTTTACATGTCACATAGGGTGTGAAGAGTTTGGGCAAGCAACCTTATATCGAGTTGGACTCGCGTGTCAGCCGTATCTTCATCGGGCCTGTGGCATTTAAAAAGAATGCGTCAACTCAAAGTGTGATACCCACTACAAGACAAGCTCGCTACCTCTAAGCTACGGGTCGGCGCAAGAGCATGAACTTCCTCTGTGGTAGCTGATTTCTTTAAGTGACTTGTTTCTCGACACGCATTTTATGACATACGTGCCGCTTTCCTAGACATACGTGCCGCTTTTGACTCCGTTGATCGACCTGCTTTATGGCGTTGCTTACTAAAGAACGGGGTGCCAGAGAAATATACCGCCATCTTACGAGCACTTTACCTTCATTCATCCGGCAGAGTGAGGGTCTATGGCAAGCTTTCCTCGCAATTCGCTGTCAATAGCGGTGTGCGACAGGGCTGCCATATGTCCTCATTCCTCTTCAACTTCGCAATCGAAGTCGTTCTGTCGAATGCCCTAGAAGGTTTCTAACATTTTGGCCTAGAGCTTCTACCGGGTGAACGCGCGACCGACTTAGATTATGCTGATCATATCGCCTTACTTGGTGACGATCCTCAGGGTATGCAACTCATTCTGGATCATTTGGCGGTCGAAGCATCTAAGTATGGCATGAGCTTCGCCCCATCGAAGTGTAAAGTACTACTCAAGGATTGGCTTTCACCTGCTCCCGTGCTCACTCTCCAAGGTGCACAACTTGAACAGGTAGATAGTTTCGTCTACCTTGGGAGCTGTGTTTCCGCTGACGGCACTATCAATAAAGAAGTTTCGCTTCGTATCGCTAAAGCTCGATCAGCATTTGTCAACCTGAGACACTTGTGGCGTCGTCGCGACGTCTCATTCTCACTAAAGGGCCGAGTTTACAGCGCATCCGTTCGCTCAGTATTGTTGTATGGTAGCGAGTCCTGGCCGATTCGCGTGGAAGACATGCGTCGTCTTTCTGCGTTCGATAACGGTTGCTTAAGGAGGATCGCTCGTGTTCGGTGGCAACATCGAGTTACCAGTAATGACGTTCGACGTCGCATCTTGGAGAATGCAAGTATTTCCTTCAACAAACTGGTTTTGTTGCGCCAGTTAATATGGCTCGGTCATGTCCTACGCATCGCACCTGAGCGTCTACCGCGTCGCGCTCTATTCGCTCGTCAAGGACCTGGCTGGAAGCGACCGCATGGTGGTCAGCCTTCCACTTGGCGGCAGCACATGAAATCGCTGACGTCGCGTCTAGCCGCTGTTGGACCCGTACGTCTTCCAGGATGGGGACCCAAAGATGAGGAGTGCCAATGGCTTAGGACTCTTGAAGACATGGCCCGCAACCGGAATCAGTGGAAGAATTGTGTACAGTGTTGTATTGATTCACATGTTTAGTACCACCAACATTGAAAATGACAAAAAAGAGAAAAATCGGCGTGTGACAAACAAACTAAAAAGGTTTTGTTCTGTATTTTTGTCAAAACGTTCCATTTTCTTGCGACATATTAGCTGAAGTGTGTTGCCCACCTTCAACTAGCATGCCACGATGATTATGACGCAATGACTGCCTAGTTTGCTGTACCCACGAACGCCGCGGATTTTTGAGCGTTGCTTCTGGATTCTACTTCCGCTTGCGGATTACTGTGTTATTTGTGTTTCATCTGTGTAAATTGTGTACCAAAGTTTCTTTTTGGTGTAGTCTTCAAGTTGTGAAAATTTGGTGAGCATTCTCTCACTTGTTTCGGAGAACTTGTTGATAAATCAAATTACCGTCTGTGTCCGCCATCTTGGATTTGCTCCAACGTGTGATGCCGTGCCAATCTAACTGTGGCTCATGTTCGAAAGCTGTAGGACAAAAGGCCCATGCACTTCGTTGTTTCGGCTGTGATGTTCTGTTTCATATTTCGTGTATCGGCCTATCCGTGGAAGTTTTCCGAAAATCTGTTGATATCCGACATAGATTTTTCCAAGTTGTGTGTGATAAATGCCGCGGTTTACTATAACAAAATGCACGGAGACCACTACCGGCTCCGAGAAAAGCCATCTCCCAGACGAAACCACTTCATTCAGCTCGTGGGGTCAAACGCGCTCGTGAGAGTACCTCTGTGAACTCCCCTTCCCCTGCAACTCCACGATCTGCACCACCGCCAGCGTCTTCTACCCCCTACCGATTCTCACAACCAATGTTCCCCACAGATTGACGACTCAGAGCCCCCTAATCTTTCAGCGCATACCTGTGAACATCTGAACACTGAAGATAAATGGATCATACAAAAACGCAAAAGTTCACGCACCAACTTTCAACCTCCCACTAACGATAGACGACCGTCCAAAACGACAAGCCCCTCCACTCCTGCTGCCTCAAGTTCGTCACCGATCTCCCTGAGGCGTTATAATCTCATGGTGTTCCATGCACCAGAGTCAAACGATGAAAACCCTCAGAAACGTTATGATCACGATGTTGTTCCTTCAGGGGCTCGTTGATAAAATGTTGGATGTGGGTGAAGGCAGCGTAACGATAAAACAAGTAGTCCGACTTGGTCAGCATACTAACCAATTATGTCGACCTTTAAGAATCACCTTTTCTGACCACAACACGTCACAACTCATTCTGTCTCGTCTCTCCAGGCTTAAAGGCACCAGGGTTCCCATCCGCCGAGACTTGGAACCCGAAGAGAGGAACCGCTTGAAGACTGCGGTCCTTGAGCTTAAACGCCGTACAGAAGAAGGCGAAACTGATCTGCACATCGTAAATTTTCGAGTGATCAAGAAGGGTGCACGAACCCGTATCAGTCGTTTGATCAACCTCCAGGCACGTCCCGCGGTGCCTCTCAAGACCTCCGTGCTGCATTCACAAACATCTGTAGCCTTATGAACAAACGGGATGAGCTGTGTCGCTTCGTTGCCTCTGAGCGACCAGACGTCGTAGGACTGGCGGAGACATGGCTAACTTCTGAGGTAATGGCAGAGGAAGTCGATCTCAGTGGCTACTCATGCTTTCGCTGCGATAGAGTATCAAATCCTCGTGGTAGTGTCTTACTTTATATACGGTCTTCCCTGTGTGGGAGGCTTGTAAGCGTGTACCGAAGTGAAGATGGACTGTGTGAACAGGTATGGTGCTCGATCAACCTCAGGCGCGGCAAGCTGACAGTAGGTGCATTCTACCGTAGCCCTCTGAACCGCTCTTTAGATTGGCTACCGCATCTTCGGAACAACATGAGTCGTCCATGTTTTCTACTCATGGGTGACTTCAATTGTCCCCACATTCAATGGCCTGAAATCCAACTCATGCCCGGGTATTCTGAAGTCGAATCAAAGTTTGTTGACTTGTTGCTTGAAACTGGGGCATCGCAACACATATACCAATCTACGCGCATGACGGCGCGTTCGAACCCATCGTGCCTTGATTTGGTGGTGACAAATTGCGAACAGCGGTTGCATGACATACGAATCCAGGAGCCCCTAGCTACAAGCGATCATTCCGTGCTGATAGCCACTATGAAACTGAACTTGCCGAGTGTATCTCCGGTGGAACCAGCTTACAACTACTGGAAAACTGATTTCGATGGATTAAATCGAGCAGCGAGCCAAATGGATTGGTCTCTACCGCATGTTACATTTGTGGAGGACGGTTGGACAGTAATAAGGGAAGGATTGGCTTCGCTTTGTTCTCAGTTTGTGCCGTTGAAATTTCAGAAAGTCGGACCAATCAAACCACACTGGTTCGACAAGGAATATGGTAGGCTGGCTCGGTTACGGCGAAGAATGTGGGACGCATTTCGCCTCTCTGGCTCCGCCACTGATTACGAAGCATATAAAAGACAGCGAAATATTTGCAACAAAGTGAAATTGAGAAAGCGCCGGAAGTTCGAAGAGAAGCTTGCAACTGATGCGAGGATGGCCCCAAAGAAGATCTTTGCTTACGTGAAACGCCGTTTGAAGCCAAAAGGTGACGTGTCATGTCTGGAAGACGCGGACGGACACCTGCTAACTTCCAGTTCCGATCGCGCGTCCGCACTGGCCGCTCACTTCGCTTCCGTGTTTGCAAACGACGCGGCGTCCATACCCATCTCAGCGAGTAACATTCCTGTAGAACTCAACAGGTTGGTTTGTGATGTCGACGAGGTGCGTCTGCTACTTGCGAACCTTGACGGTACCAAGCCTGCAGGGCCTGACGGGCTTCATCCGCTAATTATCAAATCACTAGCTGCCATTATCTGGCCTGCTGTTACGGATCTATTCAACAAATCATTGTCTGAGGGCTCATTGCCAAACGACTGGAAGCGCTCGGTGGTGAGGCCGATCCCGAAAGGTGGATAACTACAGGCCAATTTGTCTTACACCCGTTTTGGCCAAAGTGATCGAGAAGATAGTAAAAAAGTGTTTAATACATCTGTTGCAATCGAAAGAACTTCTGACACCGGCACAACACGGATTCAGGATGGGATATTCTTGTGTTACAAACTTACTTGTGATGAGACAGGAATGGTTGCAAGCACTGAACCGGGGAAAGTCCGTCGACGTAATCTACATCGACTTCAGCAAAGCATTCGACAAAGTCAATCATGAATTGCTTCTAGACAGATTAAGGTCGTGTGGTGTCGGAGGATCGTTACATCGATGGATCCATGAATTTCTCGTTGGAAGAAAGTGGAGGGTACAGGTGGACGGCCATCTAA